CTTGCGGCCAAATGTCGAATGCCAGAGTCCGCAAGGATTGCGCGCATCGATCGATAAACCCACGCTACTAAAGGGACCCTTTATAACAATAAACACCGCTCCCCCCAAGCACAAACATTAATACCCCTTATCACAGACGAATGACATACCGCCGGGCGCAAGCGCTGTTAGCGAGCGCCTATTAAATTCAGGATCGCACGGCACACGACAGCGTTTCCAGGCTGTGTGGTGGAGACGGTGTGAACACGTGCGGGCGCTTGTTAAGCGATCTTGTTGAGAATTCCTGGTAAAAAGGTCAATAAATAGACCCCCTTGTTAGATCGGTGATGTCCATATGAAGGTCAAAACCGGACCAAAGTATGATTATTTAAACGTAACCTTGCTGGGATAATATTACTATGGAAAGCCAATAGGCTAATGGAATAAAATAAATATATATTTTATTTAATGTAGAAACACAGACCTGCTGATGTCCACACCTCACACCAGGTGATCATTTAAGGCCGAAAAGATTGAAAGCAAGTCTCAGATAAAACACAAATCACAGCCAGGATTTCAACCCAGGTACGAGGTAAGCTAAACGTTGCGTCACTGCTACTCTTCACCCTACAACACAAACACAAAGATCCCTCAGTCTTACAGAATGTCGGGGCAAGTACTGTTAGTGAGCAGCTTTTAAGACTGGCACAACACACAATGGGGTGATGTTTCCCATGCCATGCCCAGCAGCCTTTGTCTCTCCATTCTGTTTTCACATTGTACAGATACTCATTTAAGTTTAAGTTGACATAGGGCAGGTTTTGAAACCACTTGGCCAGTGATGTTAGCCGATGCTGGGAATCCAAGTTGTGTCACCGGGTTTGCGGTGCAGTGTACAAACCACTATGCCACCACTCCCCGAAACAACACACTCGGCGATCTCCGTTTAACCTGGATAAGCTGACGACTCGGAGCTGGCGGTGTTCACGAACACCTATTAATAAGGCTGGCACAGCACCACGCTCGCCCATCCGTCTGCATTCTCCCAAGCGGCGAGCACGGACAGTCACACGTTGTACACACTTTAAGCAGAGTCAACCAAAGGGAGGCTCTCAGGCAAGGTCAAGACGCGCGTTTGACATTGTTGATGTTACATCACGACCAGGAATCAGACCCCGGGGTGGCATTGCCTAAGAGCCACCTCCCAACGCAGACGGACGCACACACAAAATTCGTGCGCGCAAAAGATGGGCATCTCTCGATTGACCTTGTAGGGTGGCGACGAGCAACGCAGACGATTCAGTGGGCCACACGAGCGGCCCTCCTTCACCTCGGTGGGCCAGGAGCTCTACACGGTGCATGTGCGCTAATCATGACCCCACGCGAGAGACACTGAGACCAGGTGCCCACGGGACGCATGAGGTCCGTGGGACCGAGGTTTCCCACCGCTGTTGTAGAGTCTGCGCTCGCACCAACAAGGGCAACGGCCACCAATTGCCACTGAGTTGTGGAGACGTCATCACGGCCAAAGCGCTTGTGCCAGGCTGGGTGAACTTTCGAGGGCGAGTGTGTCAAGACTCACCGGGAGGTCACAGGACAGACCCAGGCGTTATAGGTAACTGATGTGATGGGCAGGTGCGCCATCTGTGCTCTCCACTGTGCCACCAATGCAATTGAGTTGGGGAGGGAGGAAAGCCCAGCACACATACATACAAAGACATATACAAAGACCTCCCGTATAGCCTTTACAGACTGTTGGAACAAGTGCTGTTAGCGAGCACCTACGAAGGCCGGCATGGCACGCGAGGGGGTGGGTGGCCAACACCACGTCCGGCCGCCTTTGTCTCCCTAGTGGCATTGTTTACTACACACCGCACCAGGTACTCATTTGATGCTGAGTCGACCAAGGCGAGGCCCACCACCGGTTCAGATAATCGTCACTGGGTGTTGGCCGTGAGCGGGAATCGAACCCCGGTAGCCAGGTTCATAGCGCAGCGCGCTAACCGCTCCCCACAAACAGACGAACACACACACACACTGCAAACACAACTAGCCAGTGCTCGGTTAATGGTAAATCTGACACGGCCAAAGTCTGGGCCATTTACACGGTGAAAAGCGACTAAATAACTGCAGGGGACAACCAATTTGCAAAAATCTTAATCATTAATTCATAGCTGGGACTTCTGTATTCTGAGCGTGTGTGAATATGTGGGCGTGTGTGTATGTGCTTGCTAATAGTATTTGCCCCCAAAGTCTGTTAAAGGTATATGGGGGATCCTTAACTGTGTGTGTGAAAGTTGGCATTGCCGGCACCCTTTAATTATATTGCAACGTAACTCAATGGTCAAACTCTGTCCCTTCGTTATGCGCACACTCACGTGCAGAAAATGCGGGGCCCGATTTGTTTCCGAACCGCGTGCGCTTTTGAGTTGTGCTTGTTTCCCCGATCTCTATCTGCGTTCACGTGCACAACGATTCTGTTGCACCTCGACACGTGCCCGATGATCGCCAAACAAATGCCCCGCGTGGCTTCGAGAGCACCGATTCAAATGTTATTGTTGACACGCGCACGTGGTCACGAACCGCACGCGTCAGTGGGGAGCAGTGGCGTAGCTGCGTTACGAACCCGGCGACCCGAGTTCGATTGCCGCTCACGGCCAACGCCGGTGACGATGATCTCAACCGGGGTTCTGGGCCTCCCCTAGGGTAGACTCAGTGTCAAATGAGTACCCGCTGCGGTGTGTAAAAATATCGCCACTGGGGAGACAACGGCGGTCGGCCGTGGGTGTCTGGCCACTCACCCCCTCGTGCGTCGTTCCACCCTTTGTAGGTGCTCGCTAACAGCACTTGCCCCAACAGTCTGTTAAGGGGATCTTTGTCTCTGTTTATATGCAAGTGTCCCACCTAACTTAAAGAGCTCCGATGCAAGTGCAGAGAGCGAGAGCTCACGTGTGTGCGCGCGTGTAAATATGTCCTAGATCCCAGGCTAGACAGTGGGATGTATCTAGCATTCCAGAAAGGTACACATACGCGCACACGCGGAGCAAGTGAGCGAGCGAGCTGCGTTACACGCTGTGGCGTTGTTGTGAAAACAAAATGGGGACCCACAAAAAAAGCGATTGTCACATTCAGGCCACGCGATGTACCACGGCCATCAACAACATCCTCCGATCGGACCGGGATTTGTTGTTGTTGTTTTTGTTGCACACACACACACACGTGTGTGAGTGCACGCAGGAAATATTATAGCTACAGTACCTGCTAAAAGTGCCCAAACATGTTCTGCGTGGACTCCGTTCAAGCACTTGTTATCCATGTCTGGCGGTATAATTTAGCTGGCGAATGTGTAAAGCCGAGAGATGTTTTAAGTGGCAGGCTGCTTCGAATTTGACATCGTATCTGCTTTCCGGATAAAATGCATGCCTCTGTTCACCACGTCGTGGGCTTTCGCGACCAATATTATCTATCAAAGGTTTTTGGGTTAGATCGCGTAAATATAAATGTGTCGTTGAGCCTGCCACCACCCGACGTGGTCAATTGGTAAGGTTTGCCAGGACCGGGTTCAGATAATCGTCACTGGTGTTGCATTCACAGGACTCGGCAGACAAGCGGCCGAGTTGATTCCCGTTCTACGACGGGACTTGAACTCATCCTCCCAATTTAGATTCGCTTCCGCTAATCAGGGTTTTCAAAATTAAAACTCATTGCGCATTGCGCTGTGATAATTCTGGCTCATAAAGGCGTGCATTTGTTCACAAAATAACACTGCAAGTGCCAAAATAGTCAACAATACACGTCCGAGGGGCCGTTCACTGAGGAGATGGAATGACGAAGTTTGTTAGCACGCAGGTGCTAGTTGGATTGTTACGTTGCAAGTGGCCGGTGGCTTGGGGAGGCCTTCATGCAGCAGTGGATCGACCACGGCTGATGACAATTAATGACGCAACTGTACCCGTGATGCGCTTTTAAATTAAACCGGCGAACAGAAAATCTGACAGGATGATAAAGAGCACGTGGGATCATGCAAAACAACAAGCCCCCAGCGAAGAATGCCTCGATCTCTCGTGGAAGCGGATCTCCTTCCCATATATGATAAAAGAATCTCAAATATCAGTGCCCCCTCACCTGCATAAATAAATGACGGCGAATTGATGTGCGTTTTTTTTGGCCAATGTCACCTCGCCTGGCAGCTGCGAACCAACGATGCTGGGAATCCATGAGTATCAAGTTTTTTTTTAGTTTTTTTCCTGTTCACATTATTAAATAAAGCGTGACCTTAGCCGCATCCAGAGATGATCTTGCACTGTAGTATGACGCTACCGAGCCATTGCGCCAAACGTGACGACGACGGTGTGCATGTGTTGTGTGTGTGTGTAGAGCGGCGTGTGGTGAGATGTCAATTCCCTACGCAGTGGCACAAAAACGTTTTAAACGGTCTAAGACTTGCAATTAAAACGTCGGGGGAGGAAAAAGAAACCACACACACACATGCACACACTAAAACACATTCGTGCAATAGCAAAAAAATATATATTAAAAACCTTTCAACTACGTGGGAAAGCTTTGCTAAGACCCACGCATAATTGTTTTAAAGAGGGCCTTGCTGAGGAAGTTTGGCGAAAGAAAAACCTTTCAAAATTGGCCCAACATTCCGAAGTGGATATAAGCAAAAGTGCATTCCGTTTTAGTCCATCAGCCTATTGGCTTTCCAGACCAATATATCAAGCAGCACTTGTATACAGCAAGCAAACTCTGGACTGGTTTCAAGCTTCTGGGTCGCATTTGCAGATGTCAAATGCTGGGAGATTACCTTGATGGTTATTGGCAAGAGCGCTCTGTATAGAATATGGGGACCCTGTTCAACGCAAGCAAAAAAATCATTTGTGTGCGGTATTCCAAAACAGCACTTTTCTGAAACGGAGCCTTCATAATCACGGAAGCATTTCTGGTTAATGATCTTAAAAATATTAAGTTTTTTGTTTTTTTGATGAATCAGTGACCGCCAACCGTCGACCACCCACCTGCTTCCACAGGTACACGTCGTGGCTGTTCTTCTTCCACGAGATGACCATGTGCGCCGTGGACAGCGCGATGCCGCTAATGACGGCCGCCCTCATGCGCACGGGCAGCAGCGTGTAGATCATGTACACGAAGAACACGGTCCACCAGATGCCGTCGGACGCGCTGCGCGGGCTCACGCTCACCACCGACATGGCCTCGATGACTCCGATGGCGAGGATCACCGTGTAGCACACGAGCCACATGTGGTCCTGGTGGAAGCCGTTCCGGTTGCAGAGGACCATGAGCAGCAGGAAGGCGCCGATCGAGATCGCGAGCACCAGCACGTAGGCCAGGTCGTACTTGCCCGCCAGGCAGTGGAAGGTGAGCATGACGCTGCACACGAGGACCAGCAGCCCCATCAGCATGGTCAGGCTGCTCTGGTTGAGCCGGAAGAAGTACCTTTGGTAGAGGCGCTCCAGCTTCTCGGGCTGGAACTTCTTGGAGCGGAACACCTGCAGGACGCTCGTCCAGCAGCTGGCGCCGTCCCCGGGCCTCGCGTTGTCCAGCGAGGCCACGTCGAGGGCGTCCATGTCGCCGAGCACGGCGCCGCCGCCGCCGCGAGCGTCGTCGCCTCGCTCCTCCAGGCCCAGCTCCACGGACTTGGGCCGCACGCCGTGCCTCCCGCGGCCCGGTTCGTCCTGCCACGCCGGCTTGGAGCGCACGGATCTCTGCTGCTGCTGGTTGTGGTGGTGATGGTGGTGGTGATGGGAGGACGTGCCACCGCCGCCGCCGCGTCGCCAGCGGCTCTTCTTGTGCTCCAGCCTGGCGTGGTCGATGCCGTTGTACTTGGTGTCCATGACGGCGATGCCGTTCTTCTCTTCTTCGGGCCAGGCGCGTCGGGTGCTCTGCTCTTGAGGAGGAGGAGGAGGCCGAGGGGTGGAGGAGGTGGCTGCGTGCGGAGCGTGCGCGGTGCTCGGAGGGCTCACACTGTTAGGGCGGGACATGGTGCTGACCGTGCTTGCATCGCAACCCCCCCCACACACACACAATCCCCCCGGGGCCTCAGACCGCCACCGGCCCTAAAGCCATGGAAGCCACTCCCGATCGTGTCCACTTTGTCCACCGACCCCCAAGGCAAACTTCACGCCCGCCCGCCCGCCCGCTCGCCCACCACTGCCACCACCACCAATCGACGCGGCCTCAAACCAAGCTGTGTGCCACCGGCGGATCGGTGTTCGTCACGACCACCGCCGGCCTTTAAACAAAACAGAAATTTCACGTAGCCCGGACTTCTCGCCAGTACGTGCCGCCCTCTCCTCCTCAACGGGACGGATCGACAGGACGCGCGTTGAGACTGGAGTGGAAGAGACGGGAGCGAATTGCTCCCTCGGATCGCCTGGATCCTCCCCCCCCACCTCGCTCGCTGCAACGTTGTTGTGGACCTCAGGGCCGACGGTGCATCCCCTCCTCGATGACTGTCAACGGGATGACGTTCACCCAAATCCTCTCCACCGCCATCCTCCTTCGCGCCCGAGTCGCGACGTCAGTGAGGTTGAGAATACGCGACCGGTGGCACGACGAAGAGGCGACAGGCGGTGGGTAGAGGTTGGGGGCGCCGTGGGGGGATTTAAAGGAGCAGTGTAGGAGGGCAAACGACGACACAAGCGAGAATGAAATCACCACGGCGCTCTCTTTAATTAACGGCGAACCGGACGAGAGCTGCCTTCGGCGAGACGAGGAGCGAGGAGGGAGGTGGGGGGGGTCTCGAATGGCCGGCCGGAGGCCTCTCGCCGATGTTCGGTCTCTAAATGTACAGAGCGGTGGCCGCTGAATTCACTCACGGGGGAAGAAGCGGTGTGGATGGAACCTCATCGCCGCCGCACGTTCAAATCGTCTCGCGCGACGCGTCCGCTGGGCCCCCACCTCTCGGTTCGACTCCCGGCGCTTGTCTCCTCCTCGTGTCCCCCCCAAAACTGCGGATGGGCGCCAGCAGTGGATAGAGAATGCCTCGCCGGCGGGTGCTCAGCGATGCTGCGTTGGTGCTGCGCGGAGCGCGTGTCTAGGCTGTGGAATGACGGCTGGTCGCTCCGCTCATTGTTGCGTCCCGTGGATCTATCTCGCTCCTCTCTCCGTGTGTCTTCTGTCTTGTCGGTCTGTGTGTGTCCGTGTCCTCTCTCTCTGTCTGTGCATATGCGCCTGTCTCTCTCGCCCTAACGTGCGACAGCGTCTGCCGCTCGCTCTGGTCTCGATGCGTCTGTGTTGCAACGTAGCCGCTCTCTCGTCTATCTCCTCGTCTCTCTCATCATCGTCATCATGATCACCCTTTACCGCTCTCTCTCTCCCTGTCCCTCTACTCGTGCCCGTATTTCTCTCTCTCTCTCCTGTTTCCTCTCTCACTCTCTCCCTCTCTTCTCCGTGTGTGCGTGCCGTCTCTCTCTCTGTCTCTGTAATAGAAGCGGTCTCCCAATGAGGGTTTAAAAAAAAAAGAACGCACACGCGCAGGAAGGAGACTCACACGGAGAGACACGCGCGTACGGCAGGCAGACGCAAGCCTATTCTATGTAAATGAAGAATCTGCCGAGCATCGCACAGGACAAAGACCAGAAAGAGGCGATTTAGTCTACCCCGTCTACAGACGCGCAACACAACCTCTCATCCCTCGCCGTCCGTGGTACAGCCACTCAACCCGCCCGCCCCACGCAGCCCAAGCCAGCCACCTAACCCCCTCCTCTTTGCCTGCCTCCATCACACATCACCCGCCAAACGCACCTCCCCCACCCCCATCGCTCTCCTCCCTCATCCGTGCCTGTCTCTCTTCTCCTGTGCGCACGACAATGCCCGCTCATGGACACTGCGAATATAAAGACCCCCCCCGCCCCGTGTAGCCTTAACAAACGTTTAGGGCAAGTGCTGTTAGCGAGCACCTACGAAGACCGGCGCGGCACACGAGGTTGTTGTGGTGGGTGGCCAGCACCACGCCCGGCCGCCTTTGTCTCCCCCGAGTGGCGATGTTTACACACCGCACCAGGTACTCATTTGATGCAGTCGACCAAGGGGAGGCCCAGGACCGGTTCAGATAATCATCACTGGTGTTTGCCTTGAGCGGGAATCGGAACTGACATCTCCGGGTTCACAGCGCGCTTACCACTGCGCCACCGCTCCCGCTACTAATACGGCACCAACACGTGCATCTTGGGTGATTTGATGCACCAATAATCTATTCGTAAATCGGTAACCACTTTGTGGAAAGTCAACAGTGGGTTGTGGTATGGATGATGAGACTACGTCGTGTCTCAATGTCTCGCCCCGTAAGACAAAACGTGAAACTTACATTGGATCGTTTCCACTCGTAGGGCATGGTTAGCCCCAAACTTGCAGATGGCTTAAAGTGTTGCACTAAACACAAACATATAGCTTCTTCACCGGTGAACCAAGTAATTCGCCTCCCGTGGAAGAGTGTGACACTGAATACGATTGAATGCGACTTAAGCTCCCTCCGCTGGTTGCTATAATTAATGTATGTGCTATTCATTACGGCCAGTGTGAACGACACATTATTAAACTTGCGACTTTGCGTGGTTTATATACAATGGTCCAATGTTGAATACCAATGAAGCATTATGATAAATGCATTTGATCTAATAGTATATTTGAAGCTTTCGTGACTGCAAGGATTCATACTCTTTGTTTTTTTTCGGTAAAGTCACGTACTGTAGGTAAAAAAATAAATGAAAACTAAATTAAATCACGACGTTTCGGGCGCAACACAAGCGTCCTTCATGTGGAGACAACGTAGCGAAAGCACAAACGCATTTTATCTAGTCTAATAATGGATAACTGTACAATGTAAGCATGAGACTTTATCCGGTCTACTTGATTAATCGTTGACAATTTCACGCATACACATCTATTGTCTTCAATCAGGCAATTTATTTTTTTTATTAACCATGAGTACTGTAAGCCTTTCAAAGGTTAAATGGCAGTGATAACATTATGTGCTGAGAATAGCATTTAATGCACGTATTATGCATGTAAATGCATTACCATTGCATTCATTATTACTGTAGCGCATGTTACTGTATTATAATAGATCTGATCGCAGTATCGCTGAATGTTCACGCGAGAATCTGTATGGCTGTGCTCATAATCGCAGGTGACACACGTCCATGAGTCCAGACGGAGTTGAACGGGATACGTATTTCACTTTGTCAGTGTCACCTGAGGTACCACGTGACTTTCGTGATTATAATCTCTGGATGTGGCCAGTAACAGTGAATTGAGTCACGACCCTCATTTGGCCGTATAAATAAATTGGGCACATTAAAGTTCTGCGACCTAATGTGGTTACCGATTTCTGTTGTGGCCCAATGGACTGTGGGCTCCTGTGCCAACGGTGACAATTCCACATTCGTATGGCCGTGCCCAGGCTATTTCATTTTGCAACCACAGTTTATGTTCTGCAAACGGTACCCATCAAAGTACATCTATACAGACGCTTGTGTCAATCCACTGCTGGATGAGCCCCCCCCCAACCCCCGAATGCCCTGCGGATCGTGAGTGTTACTGAAACCATACTTCACCACGCTGGTCAGCGCTAGAGGTGTAAAGGCGGGGAGCACATACATGGGAGCATAGAAGTACGGTACAACAATGGATTTGCTGTCATTATGATCGGACCTAATCTATTTTACCGTTAAGAGACCATTCAACAATAGAATTCTTCTCCGATGGGCCAAGTATCGACGGTCCCATTGGTTGGTGGCCCAGAGCCAATGTTGGAAATTCCCCATTCTCATGACGAGGGTAAGTCTTTATATATGTCCATTGTGACTTCCGACGTGATAATGGACTAAAGTAGCAGCGCCACCTATCTCCATATTTCATTGTTAAACACTTCTAAATACTATATATTGAAGCTTTAAAATGCCGTTCAAATGACATTATAATATTCTAATTCAATGACATTAAACATTCCACACTAAAATTATTACTTATTACCAACTGCTGAGCATACATGTGATGCTGAGAGTACTGCACTGTACTCGGACTTTGTAGTGAGTGTGTGCTGTGACTCAAGGTGTATTGTGTACACAAATGTATGTTCTGTGGCATGAAACGAACATTAATAATGCCCCTTTGTGGACCTCTCGTCTCGTTCAAAGCCTCCGGCCGTCATCCAATTCGCGGTCTATAAACATCACCTTTGCAGGAGGCCGCGACAACTAATCCCACCGCCCCACCCATGGATATCCTGCGCCCCTACCATGGCAATGTGGAATTCCCACCACTGGATCTGGGGCCGCCAACAGCAATGAGTGCAGCCACATGCTCATATCAGCGGACGCTTTTGACTTTGCGCTGTGCACATTTCTATTTATTGGCCTTCGTGTGGCGCTCCACGGAAGGCAAATTACTCGGTTCACCGAGGAATGGGGCTCGTGTGTGTGTGTTTATCACGTGACTTAGAACAGCAAGGGGAAACAAATCAACCGCCCCGGATGTAAAGTTTAAGCGCCACAAATGCCAACAATTATATTTCGTGTAAAAATCGGAGGCTTATAAGAGAGTATGTGTCAAATTAAAACTTTCCTGAGACAACCCGTGAGAGTTTACAGCAGGCAGTCCTCGATAGCCTCTATATGTCTTTAGGCGTGTGTGTAAATTAGCTGAAACATGTAATATTGTATTGAAGTTGGTGGCGGGAGTCGTGTAAGATGCGTTTTAAATATAATAGATTCCTCCATAATGTATCCTTTTTTTGTTTTAGTGGGGTATCTATAAACGGATCACCCCGTATATTGCAGAGACAAAAACATGTTTTTACTACAAAATAAGTGTAAATACCTAAAATAACAAAAAACACACTGATTTTACTAATCGCCGTGACCACAGCGTTAGAGGCACATTATTATAGTAATCGAGGGCAGTGGCGATCTGTGATTATGGAGTGGGGAGTGGAAGTCTCACATTGGTAAATGTCCTCGTATGTAATGATCCTCATTGTTTAAGACGAACGTGGCTCGCCATCTGGCGGTCGTTTTGCAAAAAAAACCCCTCCCGAGTCGAATTGAGCGCGAGTCACTCCACTGTTGGATGATGCCCCCCTCCCTCCCTCCCCCAACCACGGCCATGCGTGCCGTGACAGTAAATATGACCATACTTCACCAACGTTTGGCCAGTACCTTAACATAAACAATAATGTGTTTTTAGTCTCTTAACCTTCCGGACTTCGTTAACGTTAAGCGCGTGAGAACATTCACATCTGTGTTAAAAGATGCCACTCTATTTGCATACGAAAGTCTTATTAGTGGACAGCAAACACATACAGAGATGTGAATGGGTCACCACTATCCACGGTCAGTCCAGACACCGTTGTCTTTCCATTATTGATGTTGACGCGTAAACGCTAGAGCCACCAGCTAGCCACTGACATCGCCATTTCGCTTGTGCCAGGCTAGGTGCATTTTGAAGGCGATTCGAGTTGCGGTATTACTAGCAAGGGTCAACAGGACAGATCCAGGTTTTACGGGTCAACAGATTTGGGTGACTAGCAAGTGCACCACTTGCACTTATGTTGTTTATACCCAAATGTAATTTATCCACCAGAGACACTGCTCGCTGTTGTGAGCATGATACAGCATAGTATCCACTCACTCTTGGAATTTCGAGGAACCACCGGCATGCAGGAAAGCAGCCAGGCAGTGAGCGGGCAACAGCGATTTTCCAAGCTCTGCGGTCCTCTATATATCAAGATGGTTTCAGTAAATGAATGAGGTTTTACATGTGGGAGGAAAGCGGAGCGCCCCGGGAAAACCCACACGCGGGCGAGGGAGAAACACTCTATCCCATTCATTTTCTGAATCGCCTTCTTACGGCAAGCCAGGGTATACGGCCCCTCGACGCCCACGGGAAGGGCGCTTCACAACATTCGCGTGGTCCACCAACCCTCGCTGCTGCCTCCAAGGACAGTGCTGGATTACATGCAGCCCGTCTTTGTTCATGTTTTGTTTGTTGCGGTTGCACCCGAGTCAAGAGCCTCATGGCTCACAGGGCTATACCGAATAAATGAAAAAAATAAAAAAAACGTGCATTTCCACAACCGCCGGGCTAAAACATCGCTTCTTTGCCTCCCGTTGCCGACGGAGGACAGCTGCCACCGGCTGCACACTCGCATCACTGGGTGCCAGCCAGCGGCGCCAAGCCCAATGGGAATTCTGCAGCACAATGGCCCGTTTCTTCTCGAGCCCCGTGTACCATGCGCGTCTTCGCCCCAACGCCCCCGCCCCTCGAGCTGGCAGAGACGCACGTGCTTTGCGAAACCGCTACCTTATATTATATACTGTGTACGGTTATATGTACGACGGCGACGTGACGCCGTCCGTTGCAGTGGACGTCGCTGGCGTGTCTGCTGAATTGCCTGGGGGCTGATCGCGAAAAAGGATTTCGTGCAGGGGTTAGGCGGTGGTAGCGCGCTGGGCATCAGCAAACAGAGTCTCAGGTTAGTCAATTTAACACGGAGTAGTCGGCTTCAGCGACCAATATTATTCACAATGTATTGTTTTGTTGAGTTAGATCGCGTAAATATAAATGTGTCGTTAAGCCCTCCACCACCCGACAGCCAATTAGTAATGATCATTACGTAAACAAAACGTGCCAATTAGTTACTACTTCAGCACGATGGTGTGTTGGAGAGTAAACCC